CTTTCTTTCTTTCTTTCTTTCTTTCTTTCTTTCTCTCTCTCTTTCTTACTTTCTCTACTTCCTTCCTTCCTTTCTTTTTCTCTCACTCTTTCTCTCCCTCTTTTTTTCTTTCTCTCCTTCCTACTTTTCTCTTTGTCTTTCCTTTTCTTTCTCTCCCTCTCCCTTTAAATACTGGAAGGCTGCTCTCCTGTCTCCCCTGGACTAGCCAGGCCCAGGTCCTGCAACCATTTTTCATATCTTTTAGCCTCCAGTCCCCTCATCATCTTGACTCATATTTATGATGGTCGCTGTGTCCTAGGGACATGTCTGCGATCTTCTGTCCATGGGGAAGCCAGATTCACTTAAGAACCACGTGACTAAATGAACAACAGCGGTGATTCACTTAACAACGGCGGCGAGAAAGGTGGAAAAACGGGACAAACCTTGCTTGCAAATTTCACTTAAAAACCGTCTTGCTTGGCCTGGAAATCTTGGGCTCCGTTGCCGTTGTAAGTCAAGGACTGCTTATAAACAAACAAATAAACTCTGGGGTTTCTCCTTGGAGCACCTTGGCCCCTGGAAGACTGGTGGACTTCGACTCCCAGAATTCCTCATCCAGCACAGCTTAAAGTCTCTTGCGATCCCTTCCTCTGCAACCTCTCCTCTTGGGGAGATAGGAGAAAAAGAAACAGACACAGCTGGCTGAGGAATTCTGGGGGTTGAAGTCCACCAGGCTTCAAGTGGCCAAGGTTGGAGACCCCTGCCCTAAGAGGACCTCAGAGCCAGATGGGCCTCCCTTGGGGATGTATATCCCAATTCTCTGCTTTGCCTGAAGCTTCTGCTTTTATAAAAATCAATATAAGGAAGCAACGATTTCCGGGAAGCCCTGAAACTTCCAAAGAAACGTTTGGAGGAAAAGGACGTTTATCCAGAACGGTGAAGGTCATTCCGGGGTAAAAGGAGCGTCATGCTGGCCAAATGCCTTTTGGGGAAGAGAAAAAAGGCAAACACCTCATCAATAAATAACCAGGCGAATTAAAAACAGAGCCTCCTCCTCCTCCTCCTCCGTGGCTTAGGGAGGAAACAGCAAACCCGCCCTGGTTCTTGCACAACCTGCACGAAACAGAAATGAAAAATAATGGACTGGGAAACTAGCAATCAGACCTCTGTGTGTGTGTGTGTGTGGGGGGAATTAATGCTTTCCTGCAAATCCGACCGGGCTTGGCCACTGACCGGAGGGCCGTGTTTGCTCGGGGGTTGAGCAAACAGAGTGCTGAATTCAAGGCTGCAGCTGGAGGAGGAGGAGGAGGAAGGAAAGGGAGAGAGGAAGTGAGGAGAGGGAGCAGGGGGGGGGGAATACGGGGTGTGTGCGGTTGGGTGTCCCGGGGCTGAGTCACCCCGCCTCGTCTCGTCTCGCCTGCAGTGCAGACAGGACAGAGGGAGTTGCACGGGGCAGCCCAGCAGCTTCGTGTCCTGAAATGCGGGGGCAGCTTGTAAGGCTGGATTCCTGCAGGAAAGGATGAGTTTTAGGA